GTAGAGAGAATAGTGCAACAATGAATGAATGGAAACCCAAAATCTCTGTAAATGTTTATGAAAATTAATAAAATATAATTATAGAAAAAAAAACCAATATGGATGGAGACGAGCTACAGAAGGACAAATGCTGTATGACTTCATTCATATACACAGACAAGAAAAGTAGAAGGTATCAGTGGAAAAGGAAAGAAATGGGTTAACACTGTTGAATAGCTGATTACAGTTATTGCTGTCAATAAGTTGTACACCTGTAAAAAGCTGAATTAGCGACAGTTGAACAGTAATAGGTACACTTACAATAACACCACCAAAAGAAGTCATCAAGGCTGCTCCATCTCACCGGAGGTGGTTCCCTGGTGTGGTGGAGGGCCAGGGCTTCACAGGGCATCCCAGCTAAACAGCCTAATCATGTGTTTAGTGCTTCCTAGAAAGCTGGGCAATGAATAAAGATGACCAAAGAAAAACCATTTCCTTTAGTTGTGGTGTTGGCAAAGAGTACTGAATATCCCGCAGATGGCCAAAAGGACAAACAAATCTGTTTTGAAAGAAGTGCAATCACAGTGCTCCTTAGAGGCAAGGATGGTGAAACTTTCTTTCACATAACTGGAGTATGTTGTCAGGGGCAAGTCCTTGGGAAAAGACATGATGCTTAGAAAGGTGGAGGGTCAGGGAAAGAAAAGATCACCATCCATGAGAAGGACTGACTCACTGACTGTAACAATGTTCTCCAGGGCAGAGATGGTGAAGATGAGTAAGGGAGTAGAGCAGCATTTAGCACCATTGTTCACAGGGTTGCCAGAAGTCCGAGCAGACTTGACACTTAACGGTTTACTAAGTAATGCCTGGGATCTTAAAATCAGAGCACAATGTGTATAAACGTTCAAAAGAGGAAAGGGGAGAGAAGGTAGAAAAAGGAGAAGGGAGAACTCACCAGCCTACCAGAGGTTAATGGGCAAATGGGGACTGAAAAAGACAGGGTGATAATACGCATAGAACAATAGGAATGAATGCTGCAAAATATAATGTATAGGAATGATTGTATGAAGCACAATATAAATGAAAAATTATATAAAACACAATGTACAGGAATGCAAAACAATGTATATGAATCATTGTATGCAAACCAATACAAAGAAGACAAATTTTAAAAGGCTTGCAGGCAGTCATCCAAGCCACAACTGGGGGAGCCACAGCGCAAGGAGGGTCAAGAAACACACATGAAGCTATCTCCCTCCATGAACAACTGCTTTCTTTACCATGTTGTTACATACCATCAAATCAGAACCAACTCATAGTGGGCTGTAATCCATAAAGGTGGACACTGCCCATCTCTCTCCTATGGAACAGCTGATAGATTCAAAGCACCTGCCCTTAGGTTGGCAGTGTAGCTCCTGACCACTAGACCACCAGAGATGTTGTTGGATGCCGCTGAGTCCAGTATGACCCATAGTGACCCCATGAACAACACATCTGAACCCTGTCCTGTGCCATCCTCATATTTCCTGACACCCTAGAGCCCACTGCAGCAGTCACCATATCAATCCACCTGCTTGAGGTTCTTCCTCTTTTGCTGACTCGCCACTGATTCCATCCTTTACTGGCTGAAATCATAATTGACAGAAAGACAATCTGAGAAGTCAAAGATGGGACATCAGGAAGTAGGTACCAAACAGGGATCAAAAATTCAAACTCAGCTGCCACTGAGTCAATTCCAATTCACAGTGACCCCTCATTGGGTTTCTGAGAGTGTAAATCTTAATCCTGGATTCAGACCTCACGAACAAGGGACCCTGTGGTTAGCAATGAAACATGTTATGGACTTCACCATCAGAGCTCCTTAAAACAAGGATAGGTGGATAACGTACTGTGACATTACATCACCCTCCAGCAAGTCTTCCAAGACTGTAAATCACACAGGAGGAGAGTGTTCATCTACCTTGCACAGAGCACCTGGTGCATTTTAACCACTTGCCTTTGGCTTGGAACACAACTCCTTACCCATTAGGTCATCAGAGTCCCCTTACCCACTAGCTATTGTTGTTGTTAGGTACCATTGAGTTGAGTATGGCCCATAATAAGCCTGCCCTATCCTGTACCATCCTCACACTGACACACTGGAGTCCACTGCAGCAGTCACTATGTCAATCCACCTGGTTTAGGGTCTTCCTCTCCTTCACTGACCCTCTGCCTTTCATGATGTCCCTCTCCAAGGAATAGCTTTTTCTTGGAACATGCCCAAAGTATGTGAGATGAAGCTTTATCATCTTTGCCTTCAAAGTGCCCTCTGGCTGCACTTTCTCCAAGGCATATTTTGTTGTTTGGTTGGTTGTGGTTTTGTTTTGTTTTGGTTTTGGGGTTTTTTGGCAGTCCATGGGATATTCAGCACTGTTCTCCAACACCACAGCTCAAACGCATCAATTCTTCTGTGATCTTTATTCACTGTCCAACTCTCAGATGCATAGCAAGGAATCGAAAAGACCATAGCCTGAATCAGATGCACCTTAGTCCTTAAACTGACGGCATTGCTCCTCAATAATTTAGAGCGGTCCTTGACTGGAGACTTCCCCAGGGCAAAACATCGCCTGGTTTCCTGTCTGTTGATCAAAAAGCTCTGCCTTTCAGGTCCCAACACCTTTAAATAAGAAGCTCCCAGCCCCTAAGCAATACCAGGTCTGAGACCACAAGAATTAGACAGTGCCCAGCTCCTAGTGGACAGGAGGCAGCACTGTTACCTAACTCAAAAAGCAAGAGGTTCTGATCCAGGAGGAAAGATGGGCAATTTCCTTCCTGCCACTCAAAATCTGCAGGAGGGCTGGTTATGAGTGGGTTCCAACTCAACAGCAATTTCTATTAGTTTATATGGGATCAAATTGACAACAACTCTAAAGATTAGATAAGAATCATGATTATGCTATCAAGTCAGAACTGACTCATAGCTGACCCTCCAGCGGGTTTTCAAAGGTACGTACACCACGTAGGAGGAAATTGTCTTTCTTCTGCTGAGCGTCTGGTGGATTCAAACTCGTTGCCTTTCAGATGGAAGCACAACTCCTTACCCACTGGACCACCAAGACTGGCAAGACAAGAACCGCGGTGGAACGAGTCCTTCCCGAAAAAGAAGAGGAAGAACTCGAAGAATGTACAAATGCCACTAAAATGCACATGCAAAAACTGTTCAATTGGCGCATGCTTTGGCATGTCGCCTCAACAATAGCACAGTCAAGGGGCATTTAAAGAAACAAAAGTGTGTGCCCGCGCGCAAGGTAGGAGCGGGTTGGTAGAGGTGATCAGAAACCCAGCAGGAGAAAAAAGGTTTGTGGGGCCCTCCTGAGCAAGAGGATGCTGGAGACGCACACTCTCAGTACTTCAAGTACACGCACCACCCGGAGCCCACGTGGACGCCACTCCAAAAGGGACCGGGACCCCCAGTGGGGCCCAGGGCAGCCCTCCCCACAGACGCGCTCGCCTGTCCCAACAGTAATCGGATGCTGAGCACGTCGCCGATGGGGCGGGGGAGGGGCGAGGGCGCCTGCAATCTGTTGTCCACACTCGCGGACAAAGGCTGGGGAAGCAGAGCCGAGCACAGCCAGGAACCACGTGGGGAACTGGAAAACCCTCTGGGGCCACCGAGTGGTGGCAAAGCCCAGGAGCTCCCAGGGCCAGGCGCCAACTCCACCGCGCGCCTTCTGCTTCCCAGGGCCCCAGTAAGGCCAGGACAACAAACCCTTCCTGCCCAAGGGTCCAGGTGGGGTCACAGAGACACGCACGAAGGCTCTTGAAGGGCCCGCACGCGGGGGGCGCAGGGACGCACCCGGAGCTGCACCGACGCCAGGTCCCATGGACCCTCTTCCCATGGATCCTCTTACCATCTCCTTGCGCAGCAGCGCCAGTGCCGCGTCGAGGTTGGGGGGCTTGGCTGGCAGGGCAGCGGGCCGCCCCGCGCCAGCTCCTGCGCCCCCGCGGCTCAGCTCGTCCTGGATGCGCCACTTCTGCGCGTACAGCCGCTCCAGGTGCCGCCAGCCGCCCGGCGCGCCGCCCGACGAC